GACGCGTGCCGTCTCTCCTTCCTGGCCAGCGCCGCAGCTGGGCTGGGACCAGCCCACTCCCTGCTGCGCGGAGAGGAAGGAACTGGCTTGTGGCTCCTTGTCAGCGATCAGGGTTTCCGGGCAGCTCTTCCTTAAGGGAAGAGGGCGCAAAAGCACTCATCGGAGTGGGATTTCTCCACCCTGAATGGAGCGATAAGGTGTCGCTGGTCAGGAGCGAGTCTCTGCAGCACTGCAAGCTGAAACACAGGGTCTGCGCCTAGGCTGGGTTTGCGCTTTCTGTGGCTGGATGCAGAGGGTCCCGCCGCTTTGTTCTCCCTGGTAACTGACTTTTTCTCTTTCCCCTCTAAACTCTGTTTATACAGGAAGTTCACGATCTGCTGAGCGACTACGAACTTAAATACTGCTTTGTGGACAAATACAAAGGGACTGGTGAGTAAGCTGCTCTTGCGAAGCGGGCGTCTCCTGTGACGGGCAGCTCTGTGCAAAGGCCGTAACCGTAGCCAGGAGCACCTGGGACTCAGCCCCCACAGGGCGCTGTGCGGGTGAGCCAGCCCTCGGCGCTGTGCTGCATCTCCTGGCAGCTCTTTTGCTGCCTGATGTTTTCTCAGGGAAGGCCGTGCCTTTGCTTCCAGAAGCCGCGGTCTCACCTCAAGCGTGTACCTGAGCTCCTAGTGCTCTGATCTTGTTCTGTATAAATGCTGCGTGTGTCCCGGTCTTACTGTGCCTTGTGTATGGTCTTTTCTTCAGTTGTGCACATTGGATCCTATTTATGAGGTGGCTAGTGTCGTCAGTCGGAAAATTAGAAGCTGTGGGGCTTAGAGCCCCAGGAGACTTTGTACGTGCAGCATGGGATTGTGTTGCTTTACGAAATCACAGGGATGCTTTTCCTGTTCACTGCTGAACTGAGGGTTCTCGGCCGAGTCCCTGGCGCTCTCCCTGCGGCCCCTTCAGGGCTGTGCCCGCGGCGCTCCTCCGAGCGCTCCGCCAGCCTCTCGCAGTCGAAAGTTCTCGTGGACAGAAAAAGCTTCTGGAGTTGCATGAGGTTGCTGTCATGCTGGGCACTCGTCCGTCCGGCTGAATGCTGTGAGGGGAGGGCGGTTGGGACGGAGGACTAAGGCTGCCGGTGGCAGTTCTGCGGTGGGTGTTGCTGGAGGGACCGTCCCAGGCCCCGTTGTTTCCCCAGAGGCTCAGGAGCATGCGATACTGGGGAAGGGCCATCTGACACCTTGCATGAGTCTTCACTTTAAGAATTCTCCAAGTATGAGAGTTGTCATGTCTGATTTAACCAGCCAGTGCTAGCAGAGACCTTGGTGCTTAGGCTCAGGCTCCTGCCTCGTCTGAGCGAAGCATGAGTGCATGATACGTTGTCTGGGCTTTGGGCACTAACAGAGTGCGCCAGTGTTGCGGGGAGGCCAGGGGGGCTGGTTACCCCCAGTTACCTGGAGCCTAACACTCTGCGCATCGACCCTGCTCGCCAGTCCCCATGGCTGGGCTGGTGGCTTTGCATCTGCGGGCAAAATGAGATTGAGAGTGCGGATCCGAGTGCGAGTGGCCTTGCAGAGATGTACGGCGGCATCTTGCTGCGTTTCTGGGTTTAACGCTTTGCTCTGGGCTCATCTGTTCTTGCAGCATTTGTCACCCTGCTCAACGGGGAGCAGGCGGAGTCCGCCATCAAGAAATTCCACCTGAGCAAACTCCGGGACAAGGAGATCTCGGTGCAGCTGCAGCCCACGGACGCACTGCTGTGTATTGCCAACCTCCCGCAGCTCTACACGCAGCAGCAGTTTGAGGAGCTGGTCCGGCCCTTTGGGAACCTGGAGCGCTGCTTCCTCGTTTACAGCGAGAAGACGGGACACTCCAAAGGCTATGGCTTTGTGGAATACATGAAGAAAGATTCTGCGGCCAGAGCAAAATCTGACCTACTGGGCAAGCAGCTGGGCACACGGACTCTGTACGTTCACTGGACGGATGTCAACCAGCTGACGCTAGACCTCATCCATTCCAAGTGCTTGTGCGTGGATAAGCTGCCCCATAACTACACGGACCTCGAGGAGCTGAGGCAGGTCTTCTCTGCAGCCTGTGCGCCGACGTTTTGTCAGGTGAGTGACGGGGATGGGGGAGGCAGCGCTTTCCCTGGGGTGCTCTCTCCGTTGGTGCTTCTCTTCCTCTCTGCTGAGATCCAGGCACTTTGCGTTTTACGCTGATGCCCGGTTTGACCGCGTGCTGGGAAGATTGACAGCCCAAAGAGAGCAGAGCCCCAGGGTCCTGCTGGCTCAGATCAGCACATGAGGACCTCTCAGGCTTTGCGGCCTTTGTGTGTTGGCAGCCAGTGCGCTCTCTTCTCATTGCGCTAAGCCTCCTTTTCACGGCCTTGTTTTCGTGTAGCTGGCGTACGGTCAGGATGGCCAGCTGAAAGGCTTTGCGGTCCTGGAGTACGAGTCAGCAGAGATGGCAGAGATGGTCCAGCAGGCTACAGATGGTTTGCTGCTCGCTGGGAACCACATCCGAGTCTCCTTCTGTGCCCCTGGCCCTCCTGGGCGCAGCATGTTGGCCGCACTGATCGCTGCGCAGGCGACGGTAAGGCTTGTGCCTCTGGCTCTTGGAGCAAAGCGTGTACCCTCCTCCTCGTGCCCTCTCCCCAGCTCAGCCTGCTGTCATCTGTGACAGGTCGCAGCGGCTGCTCCTTGAACCGTCCCAGGGTTGGGTATCCAGCCTAGAACAGACTGTAGTAGTTCAGCTCGCTGGCAGCATGCCCACTCCAAGCCGAGTTCCCTTTGGATCACCTACAAAGCTTCCTTCTGTTGCTTGTAGTTCCTGCTTCTGGGCACCTGCATGCTGCAAGGGCTAGCCAGCGTGGGGACACCGGCATGCTAGTGCTTCCAGATTCAGGATCTGATTGAAGGAAGTAGGGCACAAATTAACCTGTTGCTAAGGTGGCGATTCCTGTGTGCAGGAGCAGAATTCACAGCAAAACGTTCGTTGCCGCAGAAACAGGCAAGGCTCTCTACGTAGAGCAGCCGCTCAGTTGTGTGCCGTGCTTGTTGGTTTGCCCCGTCAAACATCAGGCTGCGAGTGCCACATCGAACTTCTCTGGAAGGGCCCGTCTTTCCCTCCGTGGTCCCTCTGAGCCTTGCGCATCCTGTACGCCCCAAGGGCCAGACAGCCGATAGTGACAGCTGACCGTATGGCTGCAGCGCCCAGACTTTCAGTGGCTTCAGGGGTGTGAGGGCCTGGGCTTTGTTTTGGGTCAGTGATTCCCTCTCTCCCTGTGCTCCAACAAAACACTTGGGTGCGATCTCACTGAGAGCGTTGGTCCTGGGAGTGCAGGGTGAAGCCAGCAGGTTCTCCGTGGTCTCTTGTGGAAGCCTCAAAGCCAGGTGTCTGCTTTTGACTTGCTGCTTTTTCTTTTCTTTTAAGGCACTGAATCGTGGGAAAGGGCTCCTGCCCGAGCCAAATATCCTTCAGATTCTCAACAGTCTGGGAAATCCTGCTTCCCTCCAGCTGCTGCTCAACCCCCTGCTTCATGGAGCTGTTGGAGGAAAACAGGGTAAGGCTGCGTGCAAAGGCAGGGGGTGTCCTCGCTGTGGCAGATGGTTCGTCGTACTTCTCTTCTCTCCAGGGATCCTTGGTGCTGCTCCATCCATGCCCCTCGTGACCAATCCAGCCCTCTCCACGGCTCTCCTCCAGCTCGCGCTGCAGAACCAAACCCAGGCTCAGCAGGTATGGAGGGGTTTCGCTGCTGCGAACTTCCCTCGGCTCTGGGTACACGAGATGTCCACTGCTGTAGTGACAGAGCGCTCCCGAACCCACTGCGCTCCTGTCCATGTCATCCCAGTGAGGTGAAGTGAATCTGCTCGTACCTCTGGGGCAGCAGATATATGCAGGTCTCAAACCTCGTTGCTTTAGTGATGAGGCTATTGTCTTGTTTGCGTACATACACCTTCAGGTATTTTAGCTGTGCCTTTCTGCAGAACAGACTCATGCCACCACCAGACTTTTACTGCTTGCTGATTTCCATGTTAGTGTGGCCATTTTGCGTGGCCAAAGTGAGCACCTCTGATGTCTGCCTTGCCCAGTATCTCCGGTCAGGCTCATGTACCTCAGTGGCTTCTCCTGAAGGTCTTGGTTGCTGCTCCCTAGTTACCAGGCACTCGAGCAGAGGAAGGAGTGGGAACTCCTCACCGCTTTAGAAATCTGCCTGGTTTGCTTCTTGCTGTCCCTGCATCTCTTGCTCCGTTTCAAACCACAGTGCCCCTGTTTTTTCACCTCCCTCCTTTGAGTGACCTCTGTCTTTCTGGTCTTTCTCGCTGTGCTTTCTGCCCCAGAAGGCATTGCTTGGGAACTCCCTGTTACTGCAGAACCAGGTCTGGACACAGCTGCTGCAGAACAAGGAAAACCAAGCCGTATTCCATGTGAGCGGTAGGAGGCAGCCTGTGCGTGACGTGCCGTGTGCGTGGTGCGGAGGGGTAGCGCCAGGACTCCCCCAGCGCCTTGCCTAGATCCTCCTTTAGGACTAGGCAGCGGCCACGGCCAGGCCCAGGAGGCCCTGCAGGAGGCCCGGCCTCCAGTACACCGGAGCGGTCTCCTGCCCTGGCTTGCAGGGGAGAAGCAACTTGCTGCTCCAGCGTGGTCCTCTTCACCTTGGAGCCCGCAGCTCTGAGCCTAGGGGGCAGAGCCTGCTGGGCAGCTCCACAGGGGCCTGGGGTCGCTCACAGCTTGGCCGCCGTGAGCGGCTCCTCTCCGAGGGGCACGGTGGTCCAGCTGGGCAGCCTGTCCGGCCTCCGCTGAGGGGCTTCAGACTAGCTGGGCCCCTCGTTTAGCTGGGGGACATG